TAAACTATTTTTGAAGAGTGGAGGTGCTCTTTTCATTCTAGTCGGCACTAATTTAAGGTTGCCATCTCCTTTAATGAGTTCTGTGATTACTGAGTCGTGTGTGAGTTTAGGATGGTACTGTATCTCTCTCTGTACCCCACACAACATCACCTGGAAGCAATGATTCTTTCTCCCAGAAGACGGCCTGTTTCCACTTATTCTCCACAGAAGAGATACAACAGAGAAACCGCCACCAACAAATCAACCTCTGACCCTGTAATGCTACAGACCAACTTTTATTTAGCATTGTATGAGATTAAATTATATTTTATATTTTAAGCACATTAAAGTGATAATCTAATAATCAAGTCCACAATGTAGAGGAAAATCACTGTGTATGTTAGTTCTTATGGAAATTAGGGACTAGCAGCAGTTGTGCGGTTTTAAAAACGGTACATTGTGTGACTGACAGGTCGTCAGGCGGTGGTTACGGTTCTTAAAATAGCACTGTTTTCCAAAGGGAGCGGGGCTACCAGTCATAGCTACCAGATCAAGTGCTGTTAGTAGAGACGTGCAAAAGAAAAGACGGATCATTTTGTTCCGTGTTTATGGCTACAGGCCAGAAATAAACTGAGGAACTGTGCCAAGATCCTGTCCTTAAGTAAGAGTGTAGCTTCCCTGCTAGATACCCCAGGCTACACAACAGAGATACAACAAACTATACTGTAAAACACCAACTCAAAATAATGCAACCGATTGGATTATGACACCCATTTAACCACTTTCGAATTGGTTTACACTACCATTCAAAAGCTTGGGAATGTATATGTGTAACTGAATGTGACGTACAGTCAAACCGAAATTTATTCAGGCACCTTCAACATTTCTCACATTATCATAATTTATGGTTATAAAATATTACAAGAACTCAAGAGTTAAACTGTCAGAACAAATTCATCTTGATAATGTCAGATAACTTTGATAGAAAGGTATGTAATGGATTACAATCAACCAAAAATTATTCAGCAGTTAAATTTTAAGTACACAATTAGATAATACCAATTTAGGTCAACCAATTACCAAGCAATGCTTTATTTTGTTCAGTCTGTGGTGTAAAAAGGTCGCATTAGCAATTAAAGACAAAACACTTAAGCAAAACATGGTCAGGTCAAAGTGTCTGAATAATTTTTGGTCCCAAATGTGTATAAGTTTTACTTGTAGTTCACTGTATGAAGAATTTTTGGGTATAATATGTCACAGTTTACTTAAAAAAAAAATATACATATATATATATCAAATTACATTTGGTATCTGAATAATGTTTGGTTTGACTGTGTCACATTTATAAGTTCCCATTCCCGTTTGGGGTCAGTAATTTTTTTTATATAAACTATATATATATATATATATATATATATATATATATCAGTCCTTATGTTTATCGTATGTGCTTCTCATTCTTCTCAAACACTGTACTCGTACTTTCCTAGTTTCTTGGGCTCACTGCTCGGGATGCACCAGTCGTCTGCCTCCATGCTCGTTTGATAATGCCTTAAGGCTGACTTGTTGAAGACAGGAAGTCTTTCTATTGATTCAGTGGATAAGGCCTGTTAAAAAAACGGGGAAAACAAATGAGAAAGATTTTGAACATATTTGTAATTTGGTGTAGAATTTAATCAAAATTCAAAAAATGCGGTAATATGGTAGGTAGGTAGGTATATGCGGTAGGGCTGGGTGATATGGCAAAAAAAATAAATATTTTTTTTTTAAATTTTTTTTTATTATTCAACTTGAAAATTTAACTACAACATGATCCAAGCAACTTTTTCTTTATTAACCCTCCATTTAAAGAAAATTCTAATCCAAGTGCACCACACATGAAGTTGTCAACATGATGTAAATGTTAAGCAAATCACTTGTTAAATATCTTTGCAGAAAGGATGCATGAATTACAACTACGTCTTGTACAAACTTGTCTTATATTATATGTTCAGAAATAATACGAGGAAAATGCTTAAAAAAATTCTTAAAAGCCGAAGTAATTCAAATTGAAAAAATTTCTAATTCAAAACATTTAGAATTTGAATGACCTTGACTATTATTAACTATAAATGTACTGTAAAAACAATGAACAGCAGCTTTCAAACTGTCACCATGATGCAAATATGAAATATCAGACATACAGTAGTAGTTCTTTACAGGTTTTTTTATTCGATTGCACTGCTTTTGCATTAATTTTTCTATGTAAACATGGACGCGTTTGACTTTTGCGCTCGCGTCTCTTGCAGCGTCTCGTGCATGAAACGGCATTCTAAAAATGCGGTGCTCAAGTTAAAAGAAGTTCAACTCCCATTTTCTTGTATTTTTCCTATTCCATTTCCCGCTTTGAATTTTTGTCAACACAAAAGCGCATTCTGTGTGAATGGCAACTAGCTATATATTCTACTTCACAGAGCGCGTCACACCTGAGCGGCTAATCATGTGCGCCGACATGTGGTTGGATCATTCTTTTCTCTTTACTGTTATCATTGGAATATTGTCAAAGTGTCCAATTCTATCTTTTCTATTCCAAATCGTGATTCCTTGATTTATAAAAAATAAAATTATGGTAAAACATTAAATTCGAATTAATCAATAAAATCGGAAAAATCGCCCAGCCCTAATTTACAGTAGTTTGGCAAATTTTTGTGCAATTATTTCAATAGGAGTCCAGGTGATTGGGAATATCACAAAAACTTTCCCCACACAGATTTCGCAACGAGTTCAAGTTGGTCATACAAATTAACCAATTGACCTTGTTAAATTTGAGACTGCACCATAAATGGATGGTCCACACAAAAATAAAAATTCTGTCATCATTAACTCACCCTTATGTCCTGCAAAACCTTTAAGACTTACTTTCTACGCTAGAACATAAAATAAGGTATTCTGAAGAATGTTGATAACCAGTTTTGGTTCCAACTAGGGTGGCCATATGTGCCATTTATACGGGACACATCTTGGCCAGGATTTTTATATTGCCTAAAACATCCAAAGTAGTTTGATCAATAACATGCAGGTATTCCCCCAATCGTGGCGCGTGAGAAGGTGAGATCTACAGAGAATGATAAAAGCCATGCAAATATGTACACGTGTTTGTTTGTTCGTTCGACTTGAAGCGGTGCTGCGCAGTCCGATCATTGTAAGACACCAAAATACCGCGAGAGTGATTCGAAAGCATAAGGAGCCGTCTGCTCTGCTCTCATGAACGTCATACAACGATCCATCTGCACAGCGCAAAGAGCCAAAACCTGGATATGTTAGGCAATATAGAAATCCTGGCAGGGATGGTAGGTAGGTAGGTATATGCGGTAGGGCTGGGTGATATGGCAAAAAAAATAAATATTTTTTTTTTAAATTTTTTTTTATTATTCAACTTGAAAATTTAACTACAACATGATCCAAGCAACTTTTTCTTTATTAACCCTCCATTTAAAGAAAATTCTAATCCAAGTGCACCACACATGAAGTTGTCAACATGATGTAAATGTTAAGCAAATCACTTGTTAAATATCTTTGCAGAAAGGATGCATGAATTACAACTACGTCTTGTACAAACTTGTCTTATATTATATGTTCAGAAATAATACGAGGAAAATGCTTAAAAAAATTCTTAAAAGCCGAAGTAATTCAAATTGAAAAAATTTCTAATTCAAAACATTTAGAATTTGAATGACCTTGACTATTATTAACTATAAATGTACTGTAAAAACAATGAACAGCAGCTTTCAAACTGTCACCATGATGCAAATATGAAATATCAGACATACAGTAGTAGTTCTTTACAGGTTTTTTTATTCGATTGCACTGCTTTTGCATTAATTTTTCTATGTAAACATGGACGCGTTTGACTTTTGCGCTCGCGTCTCTTGCAGCGTCTCGTGCATGAAACGGCATTCTAAAAATGCGGTGCTCAAGTTAAAAGAAGTTCAACTCCCATTTTCTTGTATTTTTCCTATTCCATTTCCCGCTTTGAATTTTTGTCAACACAAAAGCGCATTCTGTGTGAATGGCAACTAGCTATATATTCTACTTCACAGAGCGCGTCACACCTGAGCGGCTAATCATGTGCGCCGACATGTGGTTGGATCATTCTTTTCTCTTTACTGTTATCATTGGAATATTGTCAAAGTGTCCAATTCTATCTTTTCTATTCCAAATCGTGATTCCTTGATTTATAAAAAATAAAATTATGGTAAAACATTAAATTCGAATTAATCAATAAAATCTGAAAAATCGCCCAGCCCTAATTTACAGTAGTTTGGCAAATTTTTGTGCAATTATTTCAATAGGAGTCCAGGTGATTGGGAATATCACAAAAACTTTCCCCACACAGATTTCGCAACGAGTTCAAGTTGGTCATACAAATTAACCAATTGACCTTGTTAAATTTGAGACTGCACCATAAATGGATGGTCCACACAAAAATAAAAATTCTGTCATCATTAACTCACCCTTATGTCCTGCAAAACCTTTAAGACTTACTTTCTACGCTAGAACATAAAATAAGGTATTCTGAAGAATGTTGATAACCAGTTTTGGTTCCAACTAGGGTGGCCATATGTGCCATTTATACGGGACACGTCTTGGCCAGGATTTTTATATTGCCTAAAACATCCAAAGTAGTTTGATCAATAACATGCAGGTATTCCCCCAATCGTGGCGCGTGAGAAGGTGAGATCTACAGAGAATGATAAAAGCCATGCAAATATGTACACGTGTTTGTTTGTTCGTTCGACTTGAAGCGGTGCTGCGCAGTCCGATCATTGTAAGACACCAAAATACCGCGAGAGTGATTCGAAAGCATAAGGAGCCGTCTGCTCTGCTCTCATGAACGTCATACAACGATCCATCTGCACAGCGCAAAGAGCCAAAACCTGGATATGTTAGGCAATAAAATTGCACAACATCATCATTGATCATTGATTGTGTATCATTGCACAACAAAGATAATCTGCATATAGTATGTTTAATTAGACAGCCTAGGTTCTTACCAGGGGAGCATTACGGCTGTTTTCAGCCACAGGACTCGGTGCAGTTGAATACATGTAGCTGAAAAGCCTTTCGATTTTTCTCAAAGGAACTCCACCTCCTCTGTCAGACATCTAATACAACACAAGAGTCATTACAAACATGTTTGGCTCTCACCGCTCTTGCAAGTATGTTGCAAGTTAAAACGGAGATACAATATTAAACTTTTGCTGACCTGTTACAACTGTGCATCTGAAAAAGCATGAGTGCTGAGGTGTTGAAAAAAGCTCACCTTGATGGTCAGATCTTCACTCCCTAGAGAAACTCTCACTTTGATTGGTGGTAGATGTAGGCTGGTCTCATGGGTTTCCACAGTTGCTCTCATTGCATTCTGTTACAGAGAAAAAACACACATTATCATCAAATGCTTGATGGTCAAGTTAATTCAAACCCATTTGACTTTCTTACTTCCGTGGAACACAAAAGGAGACGTTTAGATAAAGCCCAAAACCTACCATTGAATGGTCCATACAACTTGTTCACTACATTCCAAGTCTTCTGAATCCAAACAATAGCTTTGGATAAGGACCAGACAAAGTTTTAGTCATTAATCACTGAAAATCTAGCTCTTAAATCTCATTTACACTTGCACATATTCTTGTTTTGTAACTAATTGCGATGTATTAACATTCTGTAAAAACTCATTTTGTGTTCTGCAGAAGAAAATAAGCCATACAGGTTTAGAACGACATGAGGGTGAAGTTATGATGATGCATTTGCCTCTTATTTACTTTGTTTATATAAGTCTATCATTGTGTAGGCTATAGCTACTATAAAGTGATTCAAGTACCTTGAAGAGCTCAAAGAGCATGTGGTACAGATGAGAAGGCACATAAACTATATGTATACGGTCACTGGATCCTTTAACTGTAGAAACAACAGAAAGATAAATTCAGTAACAGTTGAGTAACCCAAAAAACAAGGCCATAACATGCAGGCGAACATACATTTTTTATTTTAAGAATGCAAAGAAGAAATCAACACTGGCATGCTGCCCAAACTAGTCAGGTATGAAGCACATGATAGAGGTTATGCTGGCTAATTTGTTACTGTGTTGGTAAAAAACGCCGCAACGGTGGTCACTCAACCTTGTAGGTTCTCTTTGCTTGACACAATAGTACATTGCTATTTACATGTCTAAGAGATAAAACGAGAGATCATGCCAACATTTGCCATTATGTAACTAAGTACACAGTGCTGTTCCTATAATCCATTTTTCCATAAACACACAGTGATAAGATTATAAAGCGCTATTTCTGTCAACACCGATAAGTGATTTAAGAACTAACTAAATGTGGTTGCATAATAGTTAAAATTTCTAATAAAAACAAATTCAAATACTCTATGCTATTATTTATTACTATCAATCTACAGTATGCATCTTCCTGTACTTATACTGTAAATGTACATTACAGTGACATTGCCATTCTAATGTTTGGGGGTCTGTAATATTATTTTAATGATTTTGAAAGAAGTCCCTTATGCTCACCAAGGCTGCATTTATTTGACCAAAAATACAGTAAAAACCATAATATTGTGAAATATTATTAAAATTTAAAATAACTGTTTTCAATATTAAAATATTTTAAAAATGTAATTTATTCCTGTGAAGGCAAAGCTGAATTTACACCAGCCATAACTCACGTTTTCAGTGTTACACAATCCTTCAGAATTCATTCTGATATGCTGATTTGCTGCTCAAGAAACATTTCTTATTATTACTTATTATTATTATTAATGTTGAAAACAGTTGAGCTGATTAATATATTTATCTTTTTTAGGATTCTTTGAAAATATTAAGTTCAAAAGAACAGCATTTATTTGAAATAGAAATGTTTTGTAACATTATAAATGCGTTTATTGTAACTTTTGATCAATTTAATGCTCTCTAGCTGAAAAAAAAAAGTGAAAGTTGAATTTCAGGTCATGCTTGGCTGATAAGATTTCACAGCATACCCATAATCCCCACCCAACACATTTTGTTGGCACCATCCCACACTGTCAAACAACTACAGTCTAACATGGAATCAATAAGACTGTAAATAAGCAAATAAGTGTAAATAAGTCTTTAGAGAGCTCCACTGCAGAGTTCAGGTTTCTGACATTTCATGACTCACCATGCACAGGACACACAAAGACTGAAAGTCTGAGAGAAAAAAATTCTCGCTCACAGTTGACTTGTTTGATTTCCACTTCGGGAGAGGTCAAGTAGTACTGATCACACAGCATCTTGGCACTCTCATAGGCATCTAGAGAGAGAAAGTGTGAGACACGGTATGAGTTTGCCCATGTAGGGCCTACAAAGTCCATTACACCCACAGTTTATTGGCTTTCTTTGACAGAGTAAATAAAAGTGTTACACAGGCAAGAAACATGGGTAATTACCTTTTACAACCTCCACAACGTCACAGTTTGGGTCGATACTGCCAATGTGTTTGGGGTGGGCTGGATTGGTGCTGCCATCGAAGATTAACGCTAAAATGAACACACATTTTAAATACATTTTATTTGTAGGAATGCATGATATATGGGTACTACATTGGTTATTTTCATATTATAATGACTGTTAATTAGCTGTATTGGATAACATTAGATCTACACTTCTGTTCAAATGTTTGGGGTTAGTAACTTTTTTTTTTTAAGAAATTAACATTTTTATTAAGCAAGGACACATTAAATTAATCAAAAGTGACCGTAAATACATTCATAATGTTACAAATAACTTCAATTTAAATAATACGGCTCGTTTGAATAGTAGTGTATATAAGTCAATAGTAGATATTTAACTGCATTTGCTTATTTACCCTATTTTTGCATTTAATTTGCCATCATCTAAGGCTCACTTAAAGTTCATCTATAAAAACACTGATAATTTCATAACACTGTTAAAATCTTTAGTAAATCTCAAAACGAATATCCATTTTCTCATGCTGTGCAATATAATGCCTGAATTCACTGAAAGCATTTAATTTTAAATTATTTAGACAAAATAGTACAGACTTTTTAAATATATATTTTTATTCATTGGTTATGAAGCTATGGAACATTACATTATCAGCAGATGGTTAATCTATTGTTTCAGCTGAGACAGAAATATCCATCCTGCTTGGCTAGGGCTTTAGTACATGTCCTGAACACTTACAGTGCTGATTCATCAGCATGCGTGTGGAGATTCGGCTCATGTAGAAGCGGTCCAAAAAATACTGGACGTTCTGATTGGTCACGGGATCCACGCCAAAGGCCTCCTTGTACTCCAGCACTCCCTGCGCCATGGTGGGCACCACATTGTTGTGCCTGTTCCTGACATTGATCAGTGTTTCTGTGAATCTAAGAGACACGCCATCCAGTTAAACACACTATTAGAGGTCACTTAAAACAGGCTGCAGCCAAGTTAAACATGAACTAAACAGGAGTAAGATGAATGACTTTGGATTTCCCAGAATGCTCCTGAATACTGTACTTACTTAGTTAGGATTTTTTTATCATCAGGGTCTTTCTCCAAAAAGTCAACAAGCTCCATCAAACTCTGCGCATACCTGTTTTTGAGAGTACACAAACATTCAGGGTTTATTTTTAGACTGACTTAAATACAACTCAATTTTATTTGATGTGATTTATTAATTGATTAATAAATGAACTTTATTTTCTTATTTATTTTCTATAATAAAACTTGAATTTCAGGTTCAGAGTTTTGATTAAAAAAAAAATGTAGGTGCACCACTATTTCCAAATGAAACAAAATTGAATTAAATCGAATGAGATAAGAATCAAATTGCATAAAAATTGAATTGTACCAATACCCAGCCCTATCTGAAACACAGCCATAATGCACCACACATTATGTAATACTGTGTATTGTTTCCTTTGAACAACAAAGCCAATGTAGTTGTTTATCTGAATGGCTAATGGAGGTGCAAAGCACTGACAGGTATTTATTTTAACCACTGATCCAATTCTTATCACTGATTTCTCAAAGCTGAATGGTGATTAAACAGCTTTGCATAGATAATTTAATGCTTGGAGTCAAATCAAGCCCCCATGTGACTTTTGGCAAGGGAGATGTTCTGCACAGAGAACAACAGTCTTACACGTGACACAATGAACGCACTGTACTAGCTACAATCCACCTGACTGACAGTGTTCTGTGTCAGTGTGCCGCATTGTCAAAGAGGACTTGTTTACACTGAGACATCTAGGAAGGCTGCAGCGCACACTTGTTTGTGTTCAGTGTCTCATGCTACCTGACACCGCATAACATTTAGATAAACACATTTGAAAGTTACATTTAGTTCACATTGTGATCTCAGCATAATTCAAGAGATTGTAGAGTTTTGAGGACAAAGGACCCTGAAACAAATGGTCTATCACATATGAAGACTTAAAACTCGAGTTATAAAAATATTAACAACAAATCTGTTTCATATAGGAAAGAACAAGGGCAATTGTAGCATTTTGTACATTGTCCTTCATAACTCACAAACTATTACAAATCTACCTATTATTTATTGGAATAATGTAATGTAATATTACAGAAATACATAATAAATATTTTGTTTAAAATAAATAAAACATACTAAAAAGAAACCTAACAAAGAATATGTATAGTACATCAATAAATACATTTGTTGAAAATTCATACTTTTTTCTCAGGCAGAAAGAAACCTTAAGCACTCCACTGAGCATAATGCAGAGTTTCATAACATTTGCTTGTTTGTGATTGCATAAATGTGTGTGTATTACTTTCCCGGTATCATGTATAGTTTTCATAAAAGCCTCTGAATCCAGCATAGTCAGCGGAAAAAAAGTTCCGTTTACATTACGCCCACAATTGCATAATTTTCAATGCATTCCAGTTGACTTGTTGAACACAAAGCCTCTGCTAAACTTTGTAAGACAAAGGTCAATAACTACAACAGCTCATTTTGAACTTATAAATCATTCTGTCCTTCAAATCCAGTCCATTCAGAACAGAAAACCTTTCCATGAAGAACAAGAACAATCGCCTGCACATTTACCCCACTTGAAAACCAGTACTCTGTCAACTATTAAATACATGTTATTCATCATTTTCTCATTCAGTTTTGTTTTAAACCTTTTGCTTTCAATAGAGAAGAGTGACAGAAAAGTTCACAGGAAAAGGATCAGGATGTGACAAAGGTCAGTCTCTGACCTACATCCTCATGAGAACAACTCTTACATGTCTCAAACATGTTCTACTTGCTAATATTAAAATAGCATATACCTACAAACACATATTTTGGCTATTCTAATTGATTTATGTTTTACTTTTAACAAACTAGCTAAGAAAGATCGTTAATTATCTGGTCTGTGGATTCCTTAAATGACTTATTTTATGGTGTAAAAAAGCCAGCTGTCTATCCATCATCTTTGTTTTCATGATGTAAACTGCATTCATGAATTTGACCTCAGGTTCAAGTTTCAGAACACTACTAACTTTTATATATCCATATGCATTTCAGCCTAAAGATGAACAGAAATGTTATCTGAAAACACATTACTATCCAACCTGGACTAGCTAGAATGGTGGCTAAATAATTCTCAAAAATGCTGACGAAGTTTGGTGATATCCTAAGTTTTTGCTAAGAGGTTGTTACAATGTGCTGAATCAACATTTCACACCAACACACTTTCTGTATGTCTAACAGTAATAAATGTTACAGAAACATAGCAACTTTTATTTGCTCTCCAACTTACAAGGTCCTTATCTAAAAGACTTCATGGTCACCTTTCGTTTGAAGTCATGTGCTGCACACTATAAGTCATACATGTCATATGAGTTGTAAAAACGTTATAATAGAGAGCCTAGAGTAGGCAGAAATTCATCACACTGGAGCATGTGGCACTTCAGGGAGTCTAGAACAGCATGTCAGCTGTGGATCTCACCAGCTATGAAGCAGCTTCAGTGAAGGAGTGCCGAGCAGTTTGTCTGGGAGGAAGTCGATCTCCTTCATGATGTTGGCTAAACGGACAGGAAGCTCTTGCCTTAAAAACATGAAGGAGGTCTTTTCACAGGCATTGGCTGATCCTGCGAGCAAGACGGGACTACATTAGTACGAATTTTGCTCTTGAACTTGACATGTGCGGCATACCTGAAAATCCCTATACAGTTAAGACCAATATTTTGGTGTAATCCCTAACAAGACATCAGTTTGAACATATGTGTAATCTTCTAAATGACTGTGGATTTTAGAATTTAGCTTTGTAATATGAGATGTTATGTAAAATGACACTTTAGATTAGAAATGTGTATATTTTAAATATTGTTTTTAATGACAGTTGTCTTTAAGAACCTGTAACAATGCAGAAAAGTTAATAAAAAAAACAGACACAGTTTTTAAGAATTACTTCTTACCTCATTGTGTAGAAGTACTTAAGGTTAAAGTATAATACATATATGTGTACAGCTATTAAAAACAACATCAATGGTACAGTTAATTTTGTGAGGTGATATTCAATTTATATATCATCAAACAACAATATTTAAGTCATTTGAGAGATTTTTTCATGCAATCTCTTCTGCCAAATAACAGTAAGAGGAAGGCTGTGTCTCAAAACCTAGAGAGCTGCCTATGTAGACGTCATGGTGTGCATTGCAGCTGCATACAATATTGCATAAGTAGGCTGTTTTTACGAAAAATACAATGTTATACATGGTACAGTAATGGTAATACTATGGTATTTTGATAAGGTATATGACATATTCCCCATGATACACGTAAGGAAAAAAAACAAAACATAAAATCACCATAATACCATTTTATAATATGCCCTTGTTACTACAAAAGTGCCTTTATACTTTTTATTAGTGAGCTTACTAGTAGGTTTTCAGACACAACCACGATGAGTTGGCTCCATCAGATCCATTTCTAACAGGTAAACAACTCACCAAAGTCAATGAACTGCTTCATTGACAGCGGGGACGGAGAGTACTTTGAAAATCTGTCCACTTGTTTAGGTATGTTCAGCTTTGAGCTGTTCTTCAGCATGATCTGGGCGAACTTCATGTTGATGTTCAAGTGAAATCCACAGTTTTTGAAACCTTTTTCTCAGCGAGTTATTGTCCTCGTCTCATCAGACGCAGGTCGCAAAGTTTGACATTCTAGCACAGCCTGTTACTTCATCACATAAATGAAGATCTCCGCAGAAATCCGGTGTGATCGGACTGTCCGGTGGAAGAGTCCTCCTGAATCGCTCTAATTCTGTTTAATTTGTCATTGCACCAAAATAACTGACCAGCACAAGGTACAAAACAGGGTACACACATAACACAAGGGAGGGAGGGGAGAGGGAAGACTGTTACTCCAATCTGCATAGAGGTAGTACAATAGAGTTTAACCAACACAACGTGTTCTATCTTTCTATTCTTATCGACAGGTAAAAAGCTGTCATTGCATTGTATAGTAGTTCATATAAAGAGACTGATTATATGATTTTGTCATATGCTCTTTCTTGTGCAGCCATCAGAAATGGACATCGCTATCTACATGGTATGCATCTATATCGCCCTGCCTTTGACGCATGCGCACAGCTAATGTAGAGCAAAGGTCTTTGGGAGTGGGGCTGAGACACCATTTTTTTAGTCATCTTTAGTGGTGTATTGTACAGCGTGTTCCGCATCCTCTAAATGACTGAGGGGACAAATCACTTATAATAACCTCAGTTAGTTCCTTTAATGCGACAATATATTAGGCTACAATACATTGAGAAAACCTTAAAAAAAAAGGATGAAAAAATTCATGTAGGCCTATTTAGTTTCAGGGTAATCAATACTCAAGGAAAAAATATGAACGAAAACAAAAATCATGTGTACAGAGTATACAATAATATAAAGTATGTGATATTAAGATTCCAAAACAGAGGCTTTACAAAAATCATATTACAATCATAAACTGTTTTTCATCGCCCCTGTTAATCTAGTGGTTTCTATTTTAAAATTAGTGCAATCATTTAAAAAAAATATTTGATTTATTTATTTTACAGTGACCATTTACTGTACATTTTAGGCACATTTCGGCTGGTCAGGCTGAGAAACCTGCAGCCCAGCTTAAACCAGCAAACAATCTTTAGGCTGGTTTCTAGATATTTTTCGCAGTATTGCTCTTTTGGACTATGGCTCCATCTAGTGGAATACAACAATTCAAACGAATCTACATCAATGCAAAACAAACAAATAAATCCGCTAGGTGGCACTGTTGCAGTGGATTAATTTATTTCTACATTATAACAGCATTTTGGAAAGGGAGAGCTGGGATCTTTTAGTTATCTCTAGGTAGCAAGGCGGTCTGTGAGACTCTTGCCACCTCTGAAAAATGTAGGCCACTAGCCTTACATTTTGCCAACAGCTCTGATTAATTTCTAAACGATCGCATCGTATAATCTCAAACATGTTTTAATCAAAGGGCCGCATTAAAGCGGATGGCAGACTGTGTGCATCAGCAGTGATACAGCATATTTACAGTGGACAGCATCCACACTGGGAACAGGTAGGAAGTGTCACTCACACGGGGTGCATGCTTCTCACGCTCACATAACTGTGAGGTTTCATACGTGCATTTTGTTGTGTTTCATGCTTTATGTTCGATGACTTCATAATCGCATATGGTTTAGGATGTCATTGTGCTTCTCTTGGGACCCACTGTGGGCAATAGCAACGCTGACATCATTTGTATATCCAAATGTATCATTGTGACATCTATGTAATGATTTTAAATAATTGTTTATTTTATAACTCTCTGTAATCGGATCGTAGTCTGTTATGACAACAAAACCAGAATTATGATACATGACAGTCCACCTAATGTAGCATCTTCCTCATAGACAGCTATCTCCGGATCTTATGAACCTGACCACATCATGAATGTGACGTTTGCATGATAATTTGCAATCAAAATATGTTTTTATTTATTGATTTGTGTTTTTATTTACTGCATTTACATTTTGTAATATTATTTTTATTACATTTTCTTGATAATGCATTTACATTTGGTTTCATGTTTGAATTAAGCTTTAATAAAGCTTTCCCCCACAGTCTGATATTGTTTTGTTTTTATTACCACTCCTTTTCATTTTTTTTAAATCATATGATAAAGCCTAGTATTTACAGTTTTGAGAAGTATTATTCTTAGATCATATAGATACAGTCATCTGCCACACCCGGAATATTGAATAGAGGGCATGTTTTTATTTAGGCGCTCCTCCTCTCTGTCTCTCACTCATATCAAACTAACAGTTGGAGGGGTGTGTTTAAAAGGATATTCTGCCCAAGCCGTCAAACTGACCTCATCAGAGAAAGACAGCCATTCCAGAGCAGAAGCAAATGATCAGATTTTGATTAAAGATTACCAAGACAAACTATTTTTTTCAGCGGATTAACTTGTTCACGGATTAATTGTTCACATCAAGACTAGCAATGTGCGCTAGTAAAGTAAATAAAGTCCATTTTGATTTCATGCTGACTTTAAGCTGGCTTGAATGGGTGCAAAAGTCCTAGTGTAGTCTAGGACTTTAGACTGTTATAATGAGCATCCTGCAGATGGGCATTAAAGGCATTAAACTGGCCTCCTGACACTCTGTTGTCATGAATTCCCCACCTCAATTACGAATTTGACTTTGTTTTCTTTTTGAAGCTGGTAGCACATTCTGATGGCTGGTAGGCCGTTGTGAAAAACTAGCTTGCTGCTGGAGCTAGTTTTAGTCCGGCCAGCAGGGGGTGCTCATTCCCTGACTTGTATGGGTGCAAAAGTCTCAGGATAACGAATCGGACTTCAGAATGTAAAACGAAGCAACCTTTTGATAAAGCGTTAGACTGGCACCTGTAAAAAGGAGTGTCATTCAGATGAGGTATTAAACTGGCCTCCTGACATTCTGTAATTCCCCACCTTAATACAGAATCAGCTGTATTTACTTACCTCATGAATAGTTTTTTTTTCATAAATGCATAGATATATGTCAAGGCATTTCTGTTGACAACACAAATGGTCCTTCAACTTGTATATGCAGTATAGTGAGTGTTTAACCACTGGTTTTAATGAACAAAGTCTCTAAATATAACGTAGTCTCCACACTGGATGGAATGGATGGTCTATGGTGTAATTGTTTTGTCGCAGGACAAAATGGCTGATAAGAGTGACCTAAAAGCCGAACTTGAGCGTAAGAAACAGTGCCTTGCTCAAATCAGAGAGGAAAAAAAGAGAAAGGAGAAAGAAAAAGAGGTGAGATAATATTTTAATGAGACTAATTCAGAATGTGGTAAGAACTTTATATGAATATCTGAGTATGTGTGCTTGTAAACGTAAACAGTCAGAGACACAACAGAAAGCAGAAGCTGCTCCTGAGGATTCAGATTTGCACCGCAAGCACAGGGAGACCAAGGCCCTCCTCGAGCATTGGAATCTCACCCGAACCTCCATTAGGTACAGTACACAGACCACTGGACCGCATTGAAATATCCATCTGCACCGCAGCCACCTCACTCAACAATGCCTGCCTCCGAAACACTTCAGAACATTGCCTTTTTACCTTTGCCAAGATCAGGCTGTGTAATATTCTGGGTTTGCTTCAAGTCTCTGAATGGGACTTCATCCAAACCTCTTTTTAGACAGGCTTTTCCAGTCTTTTCCATTCTGCATTTCAGTCTTTTTGCTACACTGTACGTCCTGAATTACTAATCCTGTCAAAGTTGTTTTGTAATTGCTAATGTAATTACTAGAGTTTATCCAACAGAATAGTTATTTTCACTGCCCAGCAAGTCACACAAATCTCTAGACGTTAACAATACACTAATTAATGCAAACATGAGCAAATTAAGAAACTTCTTATCTCACCACCGTCCTGGTTTTGTGAGTCATGTAATCCTTTTCTTTGCTACTATTGCCGTCTAGTGCAGAGCTATGTACATTACAAAGATGGGCTCCATACTTATAACTTTGCTTTTTAAATGAAATCTAATTGTGCATAGTATAAATTAGTGCAGTATAAATATTATACCTTTGTTTATAAAGTAGCTGGTTAAAATGTATTTGAAATTTAACAACATTTTGTATCTGACTGTCTTTTTGTCTTTTCATAGTCCAGACACCAATGTCCCCATCAAAATCAATGAGCACACCCAGCGAGACGGGCAGCCATCGGTTGATGGAGCAGCTGCTGGCAGGTATTTTAACACCCCGAAACCTTCATAAATGACCATGTACCTTCAGTAGACATCAATCATGAATGTTTTTAGTATTTGAGAGTAAAACAAATGCTTTTGCCATTAATAAAGTAGGGTATACAATACAAGTTAAAGTAAGGCAATACAATGCAAGTTAATAACAATTTATTTTATTTTTTACTGTAAATTATCTATATACACTACAGTTTAAATGTTTGGGTTGCAAAGATTTTCAGATTTTTTAAAGAAGTCTTTTACGCTCACCAATTGTAATATTTAATATGTTAATATTAAATACATTTAAACATTTAATCTGTTTTCAAATGTAATTTATTCCTGTGACGGAAAAGCTGAATTTACAGCATCATTAGTCCAGTCTTCAGTGTCACATGACCCTTCAGAAATCATCCTAATATGCTGATTGGTGCTCAAGAAACATTTCTTATTATTACAGATTGAAAACTGTAACACTGTGTGTTGAAAACAGCTGTGCTGCTTCATAATTTTGTGGAAACAAATTTTTGTAATTTATGATCAATTTAATGTTTTATTGATTAATAATTAATTAATTATTAATTTCTTCATTCTGAACATATATAAATATATAATATTTTATAATGTAGTAGAAAAAAATATATCATTATTTTATAATAATTTTGATTAAATTTTTTGTATTTGAGTGGGAACATTAAGAATTTAAATGTCAGTTCAGCAATAAAATATTCTATTCTAATATTTGTTTTTCAAATACTAAACGGGTTTCTATGTTAACGGGATAGTTCACCCAAAAATGAAAATTCTGTCATTAATTTCTCACCTTCATGTCGTTCCAAACCCCTAAGACCTTCGTTCATCTTCAAAACAGAAATTAAGATATTTTTCATGAAATCCGAGAGCTCTCAGACCCTGCATAGCCTGCAATACAACTGAAATGTTCCCAGGTCCAGAAAGGTGGTAAGGACATAAAATAGTCCATCAGGGGTTCAACCGTAATTTTACAAAGCTAAAATACTAAAACCGTAATTTTACAAAAATACTTTTTGTGCGCAAATAAAACAAATTTACCGACTATTTTAACGATGTCCCAGAATTTTCAGTTTTGGGTATACTATCCCTTTTAATAGCTTTTGTTTAAGCAGGAACAAGTTATTTTGTAACACAAGTGTGACAATTTTTTTTATTTATATGGGATCAACAGATACAGGTAAGAATCATTCTGTGGTACCTGTAGTGTGCTCATTTTTGATTTTCCACTTCACCTGTCAGCCTGTGACAATATAAAATACCAAAGCAGCCTATCTCAAGGTATAAAATCTATCTCCACTGATACTGAAATGGAGAGTTTAAGAGAATGCCTGTCTAATCAATTTAGTGGGCATCTAGAAATTGATACTAACCAGAGAATGTCCTGTTAGAGAAATATTTGTAAGATGAGACGATCGATTTTTAACATAAAGCATAAAAAATAACAACCAGGAGTGTATCAGTGCCGGTAGCAGTGAGGGTTGTTAACAGGCTCATTTTTCTTTCTCTGAAATATAGACAGATAGCTGCAGTCATGTGGAAAGGGGAAGGCTGGTGCGACTGCTGCTTTGGCCTGTAATTAAGTCAGCATAATGCAGTCGTGCAGCACGTTTGACACATGATGTGCGTGTTTGTCCCTGTCAGCGCTCCCTGCAGGGGGCTCGGCTCACAGCAACTGGACTGAAGTGATATTTCCAGGACATATTAATGACTTCATCTTTAGCTATGCAGTACCATTGCCTCATGGTAGCATGATAGTCACATAGGATTATATATGAGTTGTTTTTACTCCAAGGTCGGTTGTAACAGTGTCCCGCTCTAAGTGTCTCCATCTATATAACTCTCGCCCTCTCCCAGGTCAGGGGTCAGTGGCATTAGTAAGCGCAAAACAGACACAAACAATGAAAGGTATGTATCCGCACAAAACCCTAACCCAGAATCCCAAGCAGCTCCTTTGAAGGGAACGTGCATGCTCTGCTATTAAAGTCAGCGCACACACTATCTTATGGGCAGTTGAAAAAAGCAGAGCAGTTTAGATTGCTCCCCCCGGTGTGACTGCCTGATGCCTGCTGTTACCTTGAGCCTTGACTTTAACAATTCCTCTTGCATGGTTAAATTGGAGCCATTTGCAACGATGTGAATGACAATACAGTTTTTTAAATGTCATCACTGGTAAAACAGAGTGTCAGTTTGACAAGCTACCCCTCTGGCTGTGTAAGTTTCGTGAAACAAAAATTAATAGGCATGTCTGTGACTTGTACTGAAGGTTGAGGAAAAAAGTTTACAAAGTCAACACCGTTTTGACTTGTTTTTATAGGATAATATATGCACATCACAGCAAAGCTTTGCCTACAGGTTTTGTGGGTTGTATAAGAATAGGATATATATAGTTACAGAATGTCTATGTCCTGTATTCTGGCCACCAATCAAAACACGTCATGTATGAAACGCTTTGTTCATATGTCTGTCTTAGTGTACAATATCTCACTCTATGTAACATACTGTTTACATGTTTATCTTTCTAATCAGCTTAATAGTTGAGCTTATGAAAGATGACTGGTTTTGTGTATCCTTAACAAAAAAAGTCTGTGGCATTACCATGGTATGATAATAATATCAGATGGTACTATGAATTATGTAAGAGTGGGTGCGGCCATTTGTAACTTGAATTTCCGAAGCTTCTGTTTTCATCCACTTCCAGTTATTTCTAGCTGTACAAAAACAGTCTGTTATGCTGTTTGATATTGCAAACTGATATTATCATATTTGTAGCACAAATAGTTTCACTGTTTACTGAACTTTGTTATTCTTCTAGTTATTTACCTATAGCGGCTAATGAATCAGAAGTCTTCCGCATTGAAAAATACGGTGGATACGGTCTTTTCTCACTGCGCTTAAACCCCAGGTTATCAAGTTTTTAAATCCCATTTTCAACCTCAGGATAAAACAATGTTTCATACTTTTTAAATGTTAGAATGTGGTTAGCAATGGAATAAATTTCAAATGACTGTGCTAAAGGTAGTGTGTAAAACAACACACTGTCATGGCAATTTATAACTATTTTACATTTTTGCAAATTAGTGGCCAATTCATGAATTTGTACAATCTCCTTTGTACATTTTTGTACAATCTGCTTACATCTCACGTTTAGGGGTGGTCCCTATGGTCCCCCATGTGTTATTATTGTTGTTTTTTCTTCTCTCTAAAAATCTTAAATTTCTATACGAATCACATTGTATGAATTTATATGAAATTGCCACCCCTTAAAATAATTGTTATCTCATGAGATTGGGTTGGTGTAAAACGCATCATGCATCACACAGTCATGGAGATTTAGAACTCCAGTACACATTGGAGTTGCAAATGTCAGTGAAGCGACGCAACTGATGCCATAGGACATATAACAAAGCCAACATGGCGCTTGTAGTATGTCCAGATTTCGTTCATACTACACACATTAATGATATAGAGAAGATACTTTTTAAACAGCAACAAAGTAAGTTCTTCACTAAATGTCATACCTACTCAGTATGCGAATTCGGATGTAGTGAAAATGAAACAGTGACGGAAAATGTGTTACTTTTTAATTAATTTAAGTGAAGAGCGGTTTATTCTTAAAGTTATGGACTGAAAAGTCTATCAAGGACAATCTGTAAGGTCATGAACGTATAAATGATGTGCAAGGTCACAAGTTGTGTTTGGCAATGATATTGACTTTGCAAATATGCAAAGGAATGTTAGCCTGGGGTTTAGGAATGTGCAGTACCACATCCAGAAACCATGGTAATACTATGAAACTATTTGTAAGGGTTTATTCAGTTTATTTATTTTCATAACTCTGTTCACATTTCTCATATGTCCATCCCACAATTTAATATTACAACCTAAGAAAGATTTGGTGACTTGTTATATTCCCCATGCGATTCTCACATAATTTTAATATAATACATCTTCTACAGTAACATGCATGCCATCCTTTGAAAAGTGCGTAAACATGATCCTTCTTACCATTGTTTCAAACTGCATCCCCAT